CCATCGCTCTTAGGGTGGAGGCCATCGCTCTTAGGGTGGAGGCCATCACTCTTAGGGTGGAGGCCATCGCTCTTAGGGTGGAGGCCATCGCTCTTAGGGTGGTCGCTCTTAGGGTGGAGGCCATCGCTCTTAGGGTGGAGGCCATCGCTCTTAGGGTGGAGGCCATGGCTCTTTGTTTCCAGTTTTGTTTCGCAACACCTCTTCCGCAAAATCAACACTTGCTCCCCAGGCGCCAGGGGGCGAAGGGCAAAATGTCCAAGAGTCGTGCAGGCCTCAGGTGCGTAATGTGCGGTACGTGGGCAAAAGAACAAAACCAGTGCTTTATAAAGCAAAGAACACCGATGTACTGCAAGCCATCAGCTGGTAGAGAAACTTGATCCTCTTAGGATCTATGGATGGAACATGATGGAATCCTAATGAAAGCGAGGCGGTGGACAATTACAGCCTTTTCGGCTACATGTGCATGTCAAACGGACCAAGTGACAAATACGGAGCTCCCTAGACTGGAAAAGCTGGCGCCTAGACTTCAGACTCAACAGCGGTTTCCGCGCAGGAAGGCTCTTGGGGTGAATTCTGCAACATCCAGTCAGCTGATGTCGGCCTTCTTCGGACAAGATTGAGTGCAGGGGAGAATTGACATCCCAATTCTGTCGCACCACTGTATTTTTACACATGCTCAAAAATATGTCAGAGTTTGTTGTGGTTCTGATTCCCCAAAGCCATTTGAACTGCATTTCAGTCCAGCAATGTGTTTTGAACTCTGCTGCTGCAGTGGTCCAGCCCATCAACATACCCAATATCCTTCAGGATCCCAAGGGTGGCGCTTATCCCATCAAAAATACTGCCAGTGACACGGCCACCTATCTGTCCCATGATGAGTAACCAGAACAAGTCTAATAACATAAAATTGACAAGCCACACTGGCAGCAGCAATGACAAGTCATAATGGAACCAATCAGTGGCACAAATAAGTGAATCAATGAACAGCAATGACAGACCCCAATAACTGCCGAAATCGTGGAGACACAATTTAACAGCAATGGCCAACAATAACACGATTAAAGCCAGGACCAGCAAGAACAGCAACCACCACCACTACCACCAACAACAGCAACAACATAAACACAACATCATAACAAGGTCAAAGGGGAATGCGCCATACCCGCCCTTGAAAATCCAAGATAGAGTAGTGAAGGATTGCCTTTTTGTGGGCAAACAAAGGGTGCCCTACCAAAGTAGTACAGTAGGTAAGTGGCAATGAGGTTGCCCCAGCAAATTCTTCAGATATAAAGCACTTGAGGAAGAACTGTATGTTAATGGGAGATCTGGAGAATCGGCATCAAATGGCATCAAAAAGCCAGCGCCTACGACATAAAGCAAAAGGAACCTAATAGCGAAAGGAACCTAAAAGGAATGGCCTACTCGCTAGTAGCCATGGCTAGCCATGGCCTCCAACCTAATAGCGATGGCCTCCACCCTATAGCCCCATCCGAGGTGCCGGGGCTGATGGGAGGCCGAGGAGTGACTAGGAGTCCTGGTGGGACAGTCCGAAAAATGTGTCGGGGATGCAGCCGGATGTGTCGAGGGGATGATCAGGTTCCGCTTGAGACTTCAACAATGAATATAATATACAGATTCAGAAGATGCATGTGCAGGTGTTGAAATCCTGTGGGTGCAGCCAACCTCATCACATGGGTTTCATGGTAACCGGAAGATACCGGAGGTCTCAATGGTCCAGTTGGCCTTCACGGCAAAGAAACATCAAGCTTTCCAGTTGGCCGGGATTCATCTTGAGATCACATAAATTCTGTATGACGTAGCCAGGATTCATCTCCCCAGTCGAGCAACAAATGGAACGAAGCGACGAAGGACGTGTCCAAGGCTCCCGGCAGCAAGGACTCGTCCAGTTGGGCCTTCCGGGAGATCTCTCGCCTCTGCGAGTTGCACCGGTGGTGCCGATGTTTGGGGGGTAAACCTCACAGCAGCGAAAAAGCACTGAGTGCTCAGTCTGAGCACTGATTCCAAGTGAAACCCACAAAAAGTCAGGACAGAATGTCCATGAGTGTGGAGACATCTTGCATAGGCCGAAAAGGCACCCTTGATGTCATCTTGTTGATGACACTGTGCGTTGCCACTTTGGTACCGGCGACTTGCTTGTACAGTTTAGTTTCGGTGTGTGTGTGTGTGTGTCAAAAGCCAACGAAGAGCCCCACGAGTCACCAGGACATTTGGCATAAGTTCTTGCTGGGTGGGCTCCCCAGCCTAAAGGCCAGCAGCTCCTGAGACAAATTGATGTTCGGTGAGCAAACACATGAGGCGTTCTCTTGTTCGTAGTGAGGTGTTTACATCCAAGGCCTGCCTTCAATCATAACCACCCTTGTCTCGATCAGGCTACGCCGCCGGCTACGCCAGTTCCCGAACCAAAAAAGTCTTGAGCAGTCCTTGGCAGCCCAAATTGACACTCAATCTGGAAAAACTAAACACTGTGTCGTATTACTATAGCATATGACATATGTATACATCTGGGTCAAGAGTCGAGACTCAGTCTGGGAAGATAGAAACACTGAAGGCGTTACATAATACATATATATATATGTGTGTGTGTCCATCTGCTTGACATCAGGGCACACACCTTGCACATCCAAGCCTCAACCACTGACATTGCTCTTTGAGGGCATTCTATCTTCTTGAGAAGAGATGAAGAACTTCAGTGAACGCATCTCATTGAAATTGAGCAAACTAACTCAGAGTGCCGTGGAACCGCTGGATGGAAGCCTACTGCATCATATCTTCAAACAACTGGGTCCCTTTTTCCGGGCTGTCACATTCTCACTCATCAGATTGGTCAACCGGGAGTTCGGCCCATGCTCCAAGCCTGTTTAGAAGCCAAAAGAACCAACAGAATGCATCCTAACCCCCAAAATCTAGAAACCAAATCATTAGTGCGAGCATGTGCGAGCGCTTCTTGAAGGCGGGGGGAGCTACCAGCGTCCTGGCTAGGAGCGAACTTCTCCTAGTAGCGTGTTTACTCTCCCTTAATTGAGTAGGCGCAGAGCCCTTAAAGCAGGAGTTCCAAAAAGTTGTCTCACTGTCACCAAGACGACTTCAGTGGACCTGCACTGACCTGTTCATGCCGTCCTCGCCGGCAGCAAACATGCCGATGTTCTCCGAGAATGTGCCATCCTGGCAGCGACAGCATGGCTTGATTCCAAAGCACGGCCCGGCATGAAAATACCATGAATTAAACACGTATTACATGTGCTTGTAAAACCCAGAGAGTTTGCTTGTTCACACTTTCTCTTAGTATTGATCTCTTTTGCGAATACGTAGGAGGCTAGGGACTAGAAGGCTGTGGCTTGTGGTTTTGTTTCTCTCAATCTACTATTTTGTTTCTTTTGTTGCCTGGTGGGAACAAGTTCGACATGCTTTAGTCGGTCTACTCACAAATGGTGAGGAAGTTGGGGTATATACATACTTTGGGTCGGGCAACAAAAAACGACATGATATTCCCCGGTGGTGGCTGGGTTCCATAAGAGGCTGCTCCTGAAAAAATATAAACAAATATAGACAACTATTTATATTTTGCATGGAAACAGAACCTTCTTCAGGAAGAGATCTGGTGCTGCACCCAGGGTTCAACAATACCTCCGTGGCCAAGTCGCACTTGAAAAACTTCGTGACAACCTGCTTTTGTTTGGGGGAAAAACTATCCTGACATGAATGATGATGGATTCTTCAGATCTTCTGTTGAAACCGCCAACTGTCACGCCTCCGCCTCTTCAACCACTTCCAAGGCCTCTGGGACATATCTCACGCGGCCTGGTCCGATGGAAAATGGATCCCAGGGTGGATCCCATGCCTGGGGTATCTGCAGAACGTTCTTAAGACATCCTAGAAGTAAGTTAAGACATCTTAAGACTCAAGCTTTCTTTACATCACACCTCGTGGTGGCTCTCCCTCAACGTTACTGTAGGACATTTGACTTGCTGTTCTCACCCGGTGCAACTCTAAAGAGGAAGGGATGGGTCACATAATACATCTTTTAACTGCTTGGAGCTAGGGTTCTACACAATGACCAGTGACCATGAAGGGTCGATTTGGAACTATACATCTTTCATGTCCTTATCATCTCTGTATTTGAAACCACAAGCTCAAGAGTATGAATGAAAGCTAGGGGAGAGATGCCTGGATCATAGTGACCTCAATTCCAAGAAAATGTATCCGTGGAGTGGGCACATGTTGTGTCATTGAATCATCAAACATCACAGTGTCTTGGAGGGTCGTCATGCAATGACTGAGCTGGGAGCATAGTATATCCCTGGAGATGCCAAGATTATTAGACGTAGTGTCTGCAACTTGAAGCCCTGGGATTCTTGTTTGGATCGGTACAGGCTTACATTCCACCAAGGCTCAGGAGTAGTTCCAGCTCCAATTTTGTTTGTTTGTTGGTAGGTTTGACTCTTGTAAATCACCCAGTCGTATAAATGTATCCTCAGGGTGTGTGTGTGTGTGTGGACTTTACTATTATATATGTCCTCGTCTCCAGGTGTTCATTCCCCGAAAAGCTTTCTATCACATTACTCACCTTTTTGCTTGGCTGATTTTGCTGCCATCTAACGTTCTGTTGGCATTATGGAATGTGCCATAACAATCGAGATATGTTCCATGTTCCTTGCCAGTTGCAAACCCGTTACACTATATTAAAATGGAGTGGCCTGTCTTTCCTGCCCTCTGTTTGTAGAGACCAACACCTGTCAATTCTTGCAGTTCTGTGAGCAACAAATCATGACAATCTCCAATCATTCCATCCAAAGATCTGTTGTGTCTTACACTGTCAAATCAAACAATGTTTAACCATGTTTAACATGACACCTGCAGGATCATTTGAAGGGAAGGACCTTTCCAGCTTCTCCGAGTCTCCGAGCTTCTCTTTCCAGCTTCTCCTGGGACTCCCAACTTCTTGGTTCCGGACACTTCAACCTGGGCGTGATGCTTTCGCAGACCGTCGGACCAAATCTGAGGTGTGATGTCCAGGAACGTCCTATGGACAAGTATCATCCAAAATTAACACCTCTTCGATGGTGACTTAAGTGTTGAAACGTGAAATCCACACAGGAAAACAAAACTTTTGATACCTGCCACTGCTTCTTCAGTAGCCTTGCAGGGACGTTCTTGTCCAGTTTTCTGACAGTTTGCAACCTCATATTCAGATTTCCATCAGGGAAGAGAGGCAAAGAGCGGGCTCCGTGCATTGGAGCTATTCAAGTAGTTAAAGTTCATTTAAAAAAAACAACCTCTTCCTCGGTATTCTTTCAAGCAAATTCTATTCCCTTGAGCCACAAACCACCGAACTGTTCGTGGCATGACATAGATTCATCAGCAGGCGTCATTTCATGGCTTCCTCTCCAAAATCAGATTCACCACAATCTCTCTCCCCGCTCAAGAGCGGAAGTGCCAGCCGCTGGGAATCCTGTCATCGCAGATCCCCAAGGCAATGCAAAAGCCACGGAAGATGCTCCATGGGCTCAGGGCAAAGCTGTGCACAGCAGGAGAGTCAGGAGGACATTCGAGGGCTTCTTGGGTTAGCAATCTTGTACCCAAAGTGCCCCCGATAGTGTATGGAAATGTTTTAGTAGGTTGGTAGATCATTGGTCGTATAATCCTCACCTATGTGTGTTGTTCAGCTACTTTCTGTTTAAATGCCGCCTTTAAAGCATATCACTCTGTGGAATGTATGAAAAGTCTTTGAGTTTTCCTGACACACTTTAGCCGAGGCCGGGTGCTCATCCATAAGACTGTCGTAAATTTGCCCCTGACCAAACTTTGCCAATCTGAACATAACATAGCCATTCTTTGGCTTGAGCCGGCAAACAGGGATGTTTTGAATACTCCTCTTGTGGAAAAACAATTGCGTCGCCAGCCACCTACCACGATATCCAGTGAAGACTAACCCAGGTTGGCCCTTTTATCGCAACCAAAACTTTTTTGACCAGGCTGGAAGTACGGCCCCAAAATTGCAGCTGCAATCTTCTAGTGCCTAATTCTGATTCCTGCCACGCACGAGATCCATGACTTTGGCTTTAGGCGTACAAGACTTGGATCACCAGTATGTCGCCTTTATTGGCGTTTATAGTCCACGACAATAGGAACTTGTTCAGGGAATTTCTTTGGTAGGGAACCACATGTTTGCAGTTCTAAGATGTTGGAGATCATCTGAAGGATCTCAATCACGAAAGTTTTGGGACAGGGCTGATTGGCCGATGGAACACTGCCTGGGTGGCTACATCAGGTGCAGGGCACTTGTTTCTGCAAGTTTCTGCTATCCAGGATGAACTTTCGATGCTCTGCAGAAGCTAGCAAGAACAACCGTTAAGTTGAGTCTCTATCAGATTATCATAGTTTATCCTGGGAATTGCAGGGGCGAAACTGATCGCCACAAAAGTCCCTTGATGTAGGTTATGATGGATGTCACACATGAGTCATCATGAATCTATACTTGGGTTGTTATGCTTCTCTCTTCCATGAACCTCCACATTTGGCAAATACGTGGTGCTACAATTGCTTGACTGGACAAGTGGACATCCTCCTAAATTTGACAGGGAGAGGAGTTGCATGTACCCCTCATGGCCTGCAGGGTCGCACGTTCCGTGGTCATACAATGCTTGTGAAAAAATCGGCCCTCATCCCTAATTATCTGCTTGAGCCACTGCCACAACACCACGAACAATATACAATGCAAGAGTATCAAGCATCTAGACCCATGTACATCAACTTTTAGGCGTTGTGCCATCTACTCTGAAATGATCAAACATCAGTAATTGTACATCCTCTATGACTCTATGCCTAACATTCAGGGTACACGGGGGGTTGCCCCGACAGCAGCATGTACAGGGCTAGAAAAGCTAGCGTTTTGCAGTTGCTTTGCCTTTCGGGCCACTCAACTTATCGTCTTGGAGTTCATCAACTCCAAGACGATGACATGAACTCCAAGACGATGACTTGAGTGGAATTTCAAAACACTCAAACAAGAATAGGTCTGCTGTCCAGTCTCTCCCGATTTTTGCCTTTCGGGAGTAAACATCAATGTGGGCATCCAAAGAAAGGGATCAGCCGCGAAAAGTCCCTCAAATGCTGACTGGGGGAAGGGCACTTCAAACCGGACAAACGCAACAAAAGAACTAACGACAAACACAAACAAACCTCAAACGTGGAGCCCGCCATGTCCTCTAAGCCGAAAGTGTAACGCGAGAGTCGAGTCACGAAGCCGAAAGCAAAACGCGAATGTCGATTTACGCGAGTAGACAAAGGGGGCAAGCAGCCACCTGTCTTTTAAGCGCTGTTCGAATCCATTCTGGTCAACTCAGACCTGAAGCTTTGCTTCAACCTCCAGCTTTGCTCACATCGCCTCCTTTGCTCTGCGCACAGCTGGGGTTCGTCGACGGTTCCTTGCTTGCGACTATGTCGAGGCACTTGATGCAGTTCGCCGGGCTGCCATGTGCAAATGTGAACGAAGAGCTTCCGTAGGGCCAGCCACACATGGTCTTTTAGCAGCCTACTGGCGAAGATATAGGTTGCTTGGTGTTGCGATGAACGGTGCCAGCCTTCGAAACAACCACGTTGGGCAACAAGCCATGTGTAGCTGTCGATAGTTCAGCTCATCTTAACATAGAATCTTCCAGGTCACCTTGAGCTTTCTTGAGTTGCTCAATCTCCACTTTCAACTTGGCCGCAGTTCGAGACTGTTCATCTTCCACTTCTTCAACTTGTCCACCACAGTCCCCAGTTGTTTGCCGTCGCTTTGAAGAACCGCTCTTTGGTGAGTCGGTGGAAGTCCCCTTGTGCATATTGCCAGATCACATTCGACGTCCACCTGCCCAAGAAAGCCACCTGGGGTATTTGCCAACCGGATCTTCTTCCTGAATGCCCAGTCACCTTCGAGCCGTAGAGGTCCCTCCAACCCGCCACAATTTCTGCCTTCTTTGCCGGCGCCCCGTCCGCCTTTCTTGCAATGAAGTCTTCCTCCAACGGTAGATCTTCCAGTATACCGTCGAAGAACGGGCAGGGGTTGTCCCAGGAGCAGGTTGAGTGGCAACAGCATTGCAAAGTTCTGGTTGCCAAGAGCCCCGATTGGCCCCCTTTCGAAACTGCGATGTAGAGGGAGACAATCTTTGTTTCGTCACCGAACTTGATGTTCTTGCGTTCTACATTGGCCAACTCTGCTTCGCGCAACATCCAAATGACCAAGAAAGCAAACGTTCAAGCAGCGTGTGCCACACCCTACAAGGCGATGTCATTGGAGTCTTTTGTTGCCATTGGTGTTCGATGGGTCAAGAACCTTTACCTGAACATACGCAGGTACGCACTACGACCGGAAATAAGACCGGTTTTCTTAGAAAAAGACAGGGCGTAACGCTGTGGCGGTTCCTCACACGGATCCCGCCTTTGTAAGACTGCGCAGCATCGGAAAACAAAAACTCTATATCCCATCTCAAACTGTGCTGTTTCCAATCCTGAAACTAGGGATGAGGCTTGGCGAACATGTATGCTGGTATGCGTCCTCAACTGGCTCCCAATTGCGTGGAGGCTGCTCCGTTTCGCTCGCGATACTCGCTCGCCCGACCGACCGACATAGAGTCCCACGGGCTTTGGAAGGCACACCCTGGTTTTGTTGGGAGCGCCGTGGATTCAAAACACGTCTGGATTAAATACGAAGCCGGCTTTCTGCTTCAGAACTCGGGCAACCAGATGTACCAACTGGTCCTGAGCCTGCTGTCCTTGGATTTTTCCAGGTTGATGGGGATGTCTTTTTTCTTAAAAAATATATATATATATGTATATAAATAGTTAACCTGACTCAAGGATGGATTCGCTGAGAAAAAACATGCCCCCAAACCCTTCGTAGGCGAAGACGGTCTTGCTTTGGGACATGAAAGAAGAAAGTCCCAAATCGCCTAACTGAACAGAATCTACAGTAGAGTAAGTCCTATAACTTGAGCCCTTGGAGAAACAATGCCATGTTCCCACCGCTGCTTTATCTGCTTCGCTTAAACCCTGAGTCTCCTCTCTTATTCAATTTAGTTTTTGGATTGATTTAATGTAACTGATAAATTTACATTGTTTTCCAAGTAAAACTAGACTAAACAGTTTGTGGAATAGAACTAAAAGAACATGTACTTTTTTACAAAAACATGTAGTTTTCAATGGTCTATTCCGTAGCTATTCTGCAGAAAAAACAAAAGCACGTGCGAAAAACATATATGCAACAAAACCAAAGGCAACCTCGGCAGCACATGAGGGAAGTCTCCAACATTGGTAGACTGATCATCAACCTTCACCTCACCCCCCCAATCAATCCGCCTCCACCTTCCGGTTCGGGTCCTGAGGGAGTCTGCGATCCTGAAGAAGACTTCATGGCTTGAATCAAATGACCCAGGCCAAACACTGCGCGCCTTCAACTTGTGCCACGGTTGAGAGGTTCTTGGTCACGAAGTCAACGCAGCCCGCTCCCTTTGTCTTCTCCCAGTCTTCTTCCATGGCCTCCGCTGGGGATATAAACTGGTATCTCGAACACTACTGAAATTGAAACACTTCCACCGCCGCAACCAGGTTGTCCCTAGCAGCTAGTGGCAACACTTGACGAATCTTAACTGCACGATGCGCCTTTTTGGCTTCGGCTGCCAACTTTCCACCCAGCCTGTTGCGAATCGCTGCGACATTTAAGAACAAAGCAGCAAAGGCAACAAAGCAACATTTAAAGCATTCATTGAAAGGTTGCTCGTCAAGGGCAAAAGCAGTGAAGGTGAAAGGTCTGAAGTCGCCACTTCATGCCTTCCTCGGAGCGCCACTCCGGCTCTTCTTCAACGAGGACCCCCTGCTCGGGCTTCGCGAACTCCTTGGGGCCTCCGCTGTTGGCTCCAATGGTGGGGCATCCACAGGCCGTGCATTCGAGAAAGACCATGCCGAAGGACTCCTCGTAGGACGGGAACATGCCATGGAGAAGAGCTCCGTTAGCACGTCTTCACCTCAAGTTGGGCAGAGCTCCAAAAGTAGGAAACACATGATAACAATAAAGTTATATGTTATATGGATCAAGAGTTGGGCAGGAACTCTTCCGAGGATAGTTATCACATCATTACATCATCCAACCTAGTGATCCGCAGTTCGATGTGCTCGCCAAGAAACCCTTTGGCCCCAGGAAAACCGTTCGCTTGAGTCCCAATGTCTTCGCCATTGCGCGGTACTTCTTCACTGCATCAGATTTCCTGGAGCCAACGATCGCCGTACCCACATCCGAGAACCTTGCCTCACATTGACATGTCGTTTTTGGGCACGGACTGAGGGGCTTACAAAAGGGCCAAGGAGAAAAGACTCCACAGAGCTTTCTTTGCACTTGAGAGAGGAAGGGGTGAACGAAAGGTAGCAGGCAATCACAAGTAACCCTGGTAGAAGTCGATGACGGCGTGAACCGGCGCAGGGGGGATTTGATCCAGGGGGGGGCCGCCCCCCCCCCGACGAACAGAATCAACTCTTACAGGACCAAATTCAACGCACAATCCCAACTCCTGATTGTAA